CCGACACCATGCACGTGCAAAAATTGCTTGCCTGTACACACAGAGATGTAATATCTGAAATAGAGTATTTTAAGCAGTCAGGCACTGTGCTAGAATAATCCAAAGAGTCAACAATATAGAGCCGCTCTCACGGCGAGTGTCGGGAGGTTTAAAGTCTATCAGCTCAGCAATTGGTTCTGAGCTTCTTAGATAAGAAGGCGATTAGAAAAGCGAGCAGGTAGAAGTCCTGTCTGCTCGAAACTTGAATGTGATTGGCTGTGAAGTTCTAGACTCACATTTAGCAGATTTCTGATTTGATTATAATGACAAAGGCAGCGAGACCAGACATACATCACACACTCAGCCGATTCAGTGACTTGTGAGTTTTTGCTTTGGATTGGGTTTTTAATTTATCTAGCAAATGAGGAGTTATGCTCACAGCGTGAAACCCACAGAAGATATGCGAGTTGAATAAACCCATTTCTGCCAGTGGAGCACTGCATGAATAACATTCATATTCTTTCTTTTTCCAAGTGCAATATGACTGCATATCAAACAACACGACTGTCCTTGTGGCTTGTTCGTGACTGATTCTGTAAACGCTTCAGAGATTGAAGAGGGAGACAGATGGGCAAACTTAACTGCAGAGTACAATCAAAGATCAAAATGCAGAGAGGGATACACTAAACTGGAAACGAGATGGTATGTTGATAGATCTCTTTTCAACCCCCCATCATTTTCCCAACCACTGCACCAAAACTTATTCCGAGCATGTTTACCTACTCAAGAGAAGTCTTTTTCATTCAATCATGGAGAGGGGTTGCTCAGGCCGTACTGCTTGGCAGTCTTGTCTTTCCCCGGAGAGCGAAATTCAATAGAGGTAATCATTACTGTGAGGACCAGTGCTCTGGACTGCCAACCAAAAACGTCAGAATAAAAAGATAAAAGTCTCATCAACACAAAAAGAACAAATAAAAATGCTCATATCATGGAAGGAAACATAAACGAGAAAACAATTAGAAAAAGAACTGTCTTTCTCAATAACTGTCTAGGTTTCCTCCTAATGTAAGAGTGTGGGAGGGTTAACAAAATGCTTATACACAAAATCTCATTACCTTTATCGGCATAAAGGATGTTCATAATTGTCATATCCTCAAATTTCAGGCAGTTTTTATGTGGTTGCTGATGTGTGTAATTTTGGCACTACTAGCATTACTAAACAGGAATTTTTATTGGTCGAACATAGAGAAAGCCCCACATCAAAACACAGTCGATTGCAAAACATATATTCAGTTTTCATTTAAATTTGTGTAATTGCTTTTGTCTTTTTTATTAGTTATTTTACATTTATTAATTTATATTTATTTCAGTTTTTCAAAATCATTAAAATCAAGGGAAAGTCAGCCAGTGAGAGCTGTCCACGTCGGATGACCAACGAAATTGGGATCTTGCTTAGAGAGACCAATCTACTTCGAGTGTAAACTAAACGAGCCAATGCACATTGGCATGTGATTATTGCATCCAGCTGCTGCTGATCACAGCGTGAGTATAAGTAAGCAGCAGATGCAGCACATATTCAGGTTTTCGCCGAGGAGCCGAGCCAGTAACCCGGCCGCTCAGCGGTGGTACAGGAGCTGTGGCGATGTGACGGGACGGGACGGGACGGGACGTGACGTCTCCGTTCCCTCCTTCAGGGAACGAGGGTTACATACATAACCAAGACCTACTTCAACTTATTTCATTGTTTATTAGTTTGAAAAGCAAATTTTTTTAATT